GCTGAGGCGGAAGGATCGCCAGAGCCCAGCAGGTCGAGGCTGCGGTGGCTGGGAGTGGCCTCTACACTCCAATCTGGGTGACAGAGTAAGACTCCAACTCAAAAAAAGAAAAAAAAACAGAACGCACCCTCCATAGCGTCCTAAGTATTTGGGACAAATTGGTATCAGATGTCAAAGCACATAGGTGGAACACAACATCCATGCTGAGATCTTTTAGCCAAAAGTTATACTAATTTATTATTACTTTTTGAGTTGGAGTCTCACTCTTCTCACCCAGACTGGAGTGCAGTGGTACGCTCATGGCCACATCAGCCTCGATCTGCTGGACTTAGGCAATCCTTCTGCCTCAGCCTTCCAAGTACCTAGAACTACACAAACATGCAATCATACCTGGCTAATTTTTGTAATTTACTGAAGAGAACAGAAGAGGCTATGTAGGGAGCAGTGTCCAACAGACCCATTGAATAGCACAGGAAGAACAAAAAGTTGAAACAAACTCATTAGGCAGGACCATCACAAGGAATGCTGTATGGTTTGCAAGTTTTACACACCTGGCATTCCTTCTGTGCTGGGATATATTTATTAACCTGTGAAGCAGGCATTTTTTCTATTTCCTCCTACTTCTCTGGGATTTCTTCTCAGGTGAGATTAATCAAGTTACACCTACATTTTCAAAATATGCCTTTATTTACTTCAAAATTAAATGAAATGTATTTATTTTTTGTCAGTCTTACCACCCTCCTGGGAGCCCTCGCTTGCTCTCCTGTCTGCCTGAGGTTCTCTTTGATTTGATTCTTCCACCATCTCCCTGAGGTGGGTCTACTTTGTCATTTAGGAGAGTTTTCCTTCTTTACAAATGCAAGATAATCCAGAGGACAGACATCAAATCTATCTTTGGCCCCAAAGAACACTGATGTGCCTACAAGTGCACAGAAACCAGTCGCCACACTAAAATAAATTTTTTAAGTTGCTAACTTCATAATATAAAACTTAGACCTAATCGATCCAAAATGGGACCATCAACTCTCAAAAGTTCGACATAACTCCATTTTAGACCGGGGTTGGGGAGAGATCTCTGGCTTTTGTGTGTTTCCATGTAGTTAAAATAATTTTGAAATGCTGACAAGGTTGGCACCAGTATGCAGTTGTCCAGATCTGGGAAAGTGGGAGTATGTGCACTAACTCTGCTTTGTTTAATAAAGGAACAAGGAAACTGTGAACCAAGGACAAAGATAATTCA